GAGAGGAGAGCGATCAGGTGTTAGCCGCCAGGCTTTGGCGCGCTGTAGTAGGTGCAGAGAGACTGGCCATAACTCGCGTACGTGCAAGAAAGATACTCTAGGTACTGCTTAATCTATTATGTTAATATGTAGTAAAACAACTATATTGTGGTGGAACTACAGGCTTATAGAGGTGCGCAGGTTTGGTGGGGTGCGGCGCTCGCTTGCCTGCGGCGCTCGCTTGCCACATACGTTACTTAGTAAGACTTTTTTTTACTTGTATCTTGTGAGTTTCTACAAGTTCAACGCCAAGATGGTTGCTTTCATAATGCAGGAGAGTACACAGTAGAAGATGACAGTGAAAGAGCACTACCTGGCACTTTATTCGAAGTCAATATATGCGTCGAGTTTATTGCAATACGAACTAAAATCATTGAGAGAATCCATTTTTATTAACTATACTACGTGCATGGTACATGTACATGTAGAAACAGCCAGATTTCGACTGCTCATATTACAGCCTGACATGTAGAGCGTATCAAGTTTTTCATCTCCTCGACAGTGATGCTAATCCTCGGCTCAACATGTGCAAAGTCAAGATACAAAGTCGTATGCATAAGCCAGCTCCCTGTTACTATCACTTGACCTCCTGTTGTAACTAGCGTCCCAAACCTTTGCGTGCACAAGGGCCGATACCGCCTCAGAGGAGGCATCAGCAACGCAGACGCGTATCGTCTTACTAGACTGAGATTCCGTGGAAGTCAACAACAAAGTCAACCTCAAGACCATCTCCCTCCTTGCTCAGTATGAAGTCTTTGATTTCCGTATTGAGGAATTGCTCACGGTCTGGTTCAAGGAAAAGATTCCAACCAAGCCTATTCGAATCAACTAGGACGCGAACATGCTTGAGGTTAGGAAACGTCTGGCGGAAACGCTTACGTCGGTCCGAACGGTAGAGCCGGAAGTAGTCACACGGCACAACGATGGACGCAACTAGACGGCGTTGGCCGAGGGCGCGGTTACGGATGAAGTGGTCGAGGGTGCTCCGGTGAGAAAAGTTGAAAGTGTTGAGTGAATACACCATGGCAAAGGCTTCGACGTAGGTCTGGCGACAGACAATAGGCAGGGCGAATCCGGGCTGCACAATGGAACCTTCGGTGGTTGGGTCTCCAGCATATACGCTGTGAGCCAACTGGATAGCCCTGCGTCCTATCCCATATATATTTGCGAATTGGTAGTAGATCATGATGCGGTGGTAGCCCAGAGTGAACTGCCAGATCTTGTTGCGGATCTCGGCTGGGAGACGGAGAAGGGGTGACTCTGTTGCGTTGCGGCGGGCACTGGTATGTGTCAATTCGCTGCTGTCCCCCTCATAAATGCAATGATTTGTTGCAATTTCACTTACATGTGCATCGACTCGGAGCGCGTAGAGATCTCAGCTTTGAGCAGCCCGTTTCTGTATTTGAGACTAGACTTCTTGGTGCGCGACTTGACGACCTTGGTGCGCTGGTCGGGGACTGCATCGTGGCTGGCTGACGGAGAGCCAGGGTCAGGCTGCCGAGGACTCATTCTCAGGATGTGATGGATTTGGTCGTTGCAGAAAGGGTGTACTGGAAAGCTGCAGAAGTAGAACAGGGTTGAAGCGTGGTTTAAATAGACACGCTTCACTTTGCGAGAGAGGCGAGTGATGAAGTGCAAGCGACACCAGGCTCGAGACGTGCACGGGTGGTGAGAGAAGTGCAAGAAGAACAATGTGAAGGCATTGGCACTTGCCTTTACTTCTCCACCCGGGGAAGGCGCAGCGACTAGGCAGCCGCGTAGTGATGAGGAGGGAAGTCGCGTATCTCGACGTCGTCGATAGCCCAGCGCTTGGCTCGATCTGGAAATACATATCGGCAGAATAGGTACGATGCTCAAATTACCGAACCAATATGAATGCTTTAGCGAGCACCATGTACATCACCCGTACATGCTAACTTCCAACGTACATCGTTGTCCAAACAGCTGCATTATAGCCGCTCATGTCTTTCCATGCTTCAAGCTGCATCTCTTGACTTGACTTTCTATCCTTGCAAGCCACCCATGTCCTGCTCATGCCCTATCCCATGTCCTGCCCGTCTCCAATTATGAATTATGATTACACCACAAGAGTGCCCATACCCCCCACCCTCCACATGTACCTCATGGTCAGGACGTACTTGGATCGGTAAAACGGAGGCGACTCGACGGATTCTGGTGCAACGTTGGCTATGCGGTGGTGCCTCCACTGAGGAGTGGTGAAGTGCTTAGTGCTTGGCCGGATCGTCTTGAAGATTCGTCTCTGCCGTGTATGCTCGCTGCTCTTTGTATGTGCGTTCATGTGCTGCTAGGAAGCCGCGAGCTGACTTCACAATGTCGACGTACTTCGTACCTCTTCGGCTTTCGTCATTGTGCTCCAACAAGCTTGCTCAGCTGGCGGCGTATGGTACGAGTCGTAGGCTGGCCTGGTTTGTCCCATCTCCAAGCGTCAACCTCCCATGATGCCAGCCTGATGTGTCGTATCATCTCTTCGCAGTGGGCTACAGCCTTCGCAGTGGGATACAGTGGGCTACACTGCGCCCCATCTATCGTCCGGAATGGTGATTGAGGTAGTATCGTAGCTGTGCGTCATCCGGGATTGCCGCTATGCAATTCTCTCCAAAAGCATCCTCGGTGCTCGCATCGTCTTCGTTCCCAGGCGACGACTCTTTCTCCCACACACGTATGCGCATCACCTCTCTTCTCTCCATGCACAACCTATTCCGACAAGACACATGCCTATACCGTGTACCGCTCCTGTATCATCCTCTCGGCCTCGTCCCTCTTTGCAAGCACAAAGGCGATTTCCGACCCCACCGCCACTACGACAGTAGCCGCCACCCCGATCGGCGCCCCAATCGCTCCGAAGCCTAATATAGTAAAGCAGGTATAACCCGTGAAAATCGAAAGGTACATGACGCGAAAGAAAAGAAGAAATAAATCATCGCGTCCGTGCTTCATGGCATAAAATGTGCAAGTTGTAAAAAAAGTAAATAAGAAGCAGCACTAGAGTAGAATTGAAGAAGAAAAGAGGAGGGGAGAAGATTAGGGGACTGGCCCAATTCAGCACACAAAAGAAAAGGGCGGGAATTGTCCCAAGTTGAAGTTTGGTTTTGAAGGCTGCGCAACGAGAGAGAGAGAGAGAGAGAGAAAGAGAGAGGGCTTACTAGCCTACCAAAATGTTTCTGTTTTTAGATACGAGACGCTGCAGTTTGACGTTGATCTTAGCACCCCGGGCAACACACGGCCAGGGCAACAAAAAGGGAGGATTTGGCAACAAGAAGCAAAACCCCCCCCCCAAAAAAATTGTGGGGAAAACAAGGGCCCGCGACAACCGAAATAGTATTTGTTGTGACGATATAGTGATGGAATGAGTATCACGTCGCTCAGAAGGAACCGCAGTTTTGACTCGCGCAGCCCCCCCCAAAGTGGCATACATTTTTTTTGGTGGGCGTGCTTAGTCCCCCTTGCCCCACGGCACGTGAAGGGGCGTTCAGCTGGTCTGCAAAGACGCGTAATCTTGTGCGTGACTGGCTTGCGGCACTGCGCCTGCATTCGTAAAGAGAGACATACACTGCGTCTCTCGCAGGTCTGGACTCGATGGCTGCACCGCGTTTTCTGTGTTGTCCGTCATCCTCCAACCGTGTAGCCGGGTTGAAACAAAAGGCCACTGCACGGCGCTTGAGCCACGTCGGTGCTGGTCTGGCAAGCCCCAAACCATGTCAGACCGTGAATAGCTAAAACAATACGCTAATGTATATCAGATTCATCTGTCAAACAGGCAAAGTGTAGAGTATTGGGGTGAGAAGGCCCGATTGCATAACATACCAAACCTTGATGCTTCTCTGACATAAGCCACAGTGCCGTGGCTGACCTACGACCCAGGGCTAACCGGCCCTCATTAGTTGAGCAGCCTTCGAGTAAACGTAAAGCTACGAAAAGTTGCCATTTATAAGTTGCGTGGTGCTGAGCCTTCCATGAACGCGTAGTCTTGAGACAAACCATGAATCCTTCAGCGCAAACATGCAAGGATACATGGCTACCACCCCTCACCGCTCGCACCCAACTTGAAGAGGCCATTCTTCTTCTTATCAGCAGCCCACTTGTCACACCAGACCTTCATCCTTTCCCTGCTGCTGGCGTTGCCGACATTGACCGTAGGTATGATCTTGTCGATTCTCAGTGCGCAGCAGAACATGGTCAGCTCCCTGAAACTGCTGTGCTCACTGTACGGTACACCGAAGCAACTCGCCCGACTCCCGCTACCCGCTTGCGGCTTCAAGTCTTTCATGGAGAATGTGCTCTTCCAGTTGTCTGAGTGTAGGACCGTCTGTACTTGCGGCGATTCCGTAAAGCGACCTTTGGGCGGGCGATAGTTCCAGCCCGAGGGTCGAAAGCCGACAACGCGTGAAAAGGTGTCAGCATAGCCACGCAAGTAGTCGTCCAAAGTCTCTGCTCTTATCTCAAAGAGCGGTGTCATATGGACTTGAGCCGCACGAGGGTCGGTTGTGAGTAGTGCATCTAGTTCGGGGTCCTCGAGAGCTTTGCAAATACGCTGTTTGTTGGCAGGAGCGTATATCTTGCTTTTCAAGGCTTTTGCGATGCCGGTGCATATGCGCTCCTTTCCAATGCTGTATGTACCCACAACAACGAGAAGGCGGCCACGCTCAGGACTCTTTGGCTCCGATGCCTTCTCCGCGGTAGAGTCTTTTTGCACAAAGCTTACCATGCCCTGTCCGGCGCGCTCCCGCTTCATCCTCTCCCATCCATCTGACTCGTCGGCACGAGCCTTGCTGAGACTGACGCACATGTCCGCGCAAGCCTGAATGACCTGTTGTTGCGGTGGGAAAGCATACTTCGGGTTGAGGTAGGTCGTGTCGAGGTAGCACGCATCGAGCTTTTGTTGCTTACTCTTCCCACTTACCACGTCTAGCACGTCTGGCCGAAGAAGTGGATGCTCGATATGTGCCTGACAGGCGCGGAAGTCTCCACAATGTAGAACTCTTTGCAACCTTGGGTGACTGCCTTTGCCCACTTCTTTTTCAAAGAGAAAAAGGGAGCTGCCGGGACAATGGTTTGCTGGTATCATAGTCACAAAAACGCCGCTAGTTCCCGGCACTTCCGTCTTCACCTCAAAGTCCAGGTCGACCACCCACTTTGGATCAACCCGCAGTTGCTGCCGCACTAGGTTCCCTGTCACTTTGCTGCAATATATCGGGCCATGCTTCCACGACGCACTAAGTCCAACATAGTGATCGCTATGAAAATGGCTCAGAAAGTACGCGTTCTGGCCCTTGACGGCACCATAGCGAAAAGCGTCGACGGCGATGAAGAAGCCCGGCATGATCTTGTAGAATGGACAGGTGCGCTGATATGCAGGCTTGCCTCGGGCTTTGTTATTTTCAGCTGCCGCGGTTGCCCACGCCGCATCTTCGGCGTGACCAGCCATCAGCTTGGAAAACGCCGAGTTTGGCTGGGAGCTGGGATTCGCAAGCTGGAATGGGTTTGCTTGCCCGGGTTTGGCCGGTCTCTCTGGTCGCTTGAAAGCCCTCGCATTACCTGCAGCAGTTGGTTTGCTTTGCTGTTCCGTCTTGGTTGTAGGAAGTGGAAGTGGTTCGCCATCCAGGCACGCGTTGACATGGGCAGTCACATCTTGTTCTGACAAGCCGGGGAGGCTGCCGCCGCATATAGGGCATGAGAGTACATCCTGGGTACCATTTTCTCCTCGCTTGCTCTCCGTGACATTGCTTTCGGGGAATAGGAAAGGCGCCTCAAAGTCGTCGGGGTCGCCTTCAAAGCCTGCCTCTTCCATTTCCAGCTTCTGCTGTTCCTTCATCCAGCGCCTCTCATCATACTCCTCGCCTTCAAGCAACTCATCATCCTCGAGATCATCGTAATACTCGTAACCTCCTCCATCGTATTGGTTGGCGGGTTCTGACTTGCGTGGTGGTGCATGGGCAATGGAATGTTCAATGCTTTCCGGGGGTAATGGATCCTCGGTTTCTTTAGTAACGGGCGACTTTTCACACTGTCTTCCTGTGGCCATACCTGGAGTTATAGCAGGTATCTCCGCTTCGCTGTCTTCGGACTCTGAATCGTCCACAAACGGTCCTGATTTCTTACGCGGCTTGAGCGTTTGTTTGGGAGCGAGGGCTGCAAGAGCGTCCATGTTACTCTCGCAGTCTGTCGGTGGAGGGGGTGAGCAGGCTGGAGGCACAGCAACTTCCTCGCTGACTTTGCGCCGTTTGATGCTACCACTATTCTCATTGTATCGATCTTCGTTGTCTGAAACGATGCTCTTGCTCTTCTCGTCACTCCAGCCCACGTCTTCCTCCTCATCTTCGAGTAGGACTGTTGGATTCGACCCTCGTTCCTGTAGAAATATACGATTGTTGATCTCCTCAGCCTTCTTGAAGAACGTCATGATATTGCCATTCGGCGTCCCTGCTGGCTTCTGCTTCTTGCCATTGTTCGTTGAAGACTTCTTCGCAACGTCGGCCGGTATGAGTGTGGTCTGTATAGAATTCTTCTTTGTCGGAGGTGTTTTTGTGCTCTGCTTTGGCGCTGCCTTGTTCGTCGCAGTTTTGGTGGCCATGGCTTCGCTGCTTGAAGAGTGGGGTGGCGAAGGGGGCCGGCCGGTTGACGGGGCCAATCTAGCCGATTCGGGTAGTTTACGATTCTCTCGAGGGTTTCTAAACATGGATAGAGATTTTTGGCATAGCCGAGCGCGGTCGTGATGCTCTTGTGCGGTGGTCCTGCCTAGGTGGCTGAGTGGCGATGCATCGGTTGAAGTCGCGCCAAGACAAACGCGTGGGCACGTGGAAACGTGGGATTTCTAAGCCCAAAACGTTCACTACTTCCATTACCACTACACCTGTAGTCATGTTCAACATAGGTTTAACGAATTCTCAAAAGGGTGCGCCTTATTATTTCACTGATATATGTGCCAGTTCGTTCAAGCTCTGGAACAAGAATGAGTAGCAGTAGGAAGTAGCAGTTCGTGCGGCGCAACCAGTTGATAATTGCAATAGTACTTCGTATACACACACCAACGACCACCTCAAGCTGTAGCATGTACAGGTGTTGCTGCCACGTTCACTTCTATCGTCTTGGTCATCGAATCCCTCTCCTTCTTCAGCTTCTCTTGTATGGCCTGATAATTCCGGCTCATGGCTTCCCTGGTAAACTCTTCGCCAGTTACCATTGGGTACTTCTTTAGTGGACCTTGGATTTTAGCATCCTTGCATGGCTGGTTGAAGAAGGCGATGCTGTATCGCTCGCCATAGTAATCGTCTGGCTCGCATGGTGCCTTGACACGATGAAAGGTTGACTTGAAGCGGTCATCCGACCATGACATGAGCAAGTCGCCGACATTACACACTGCACAACGTAAGAGAACGCCTAAATTCTAGGCAAAGATAACATACCGATAGCGTTTTTCTCAACATCCGGTTCGACCTTTGTCCATGAGTCGCCATAGCCGAATGACGTCGACACCTCTCTTCCGGGGCATATCTCAAGGCCAGACTGCCCGGCTTTTTGGAACAACAACGTCAGAAAGTCCCAGTCGGCGTGGGCACCCGCCCTATGGTACACCTCGCCTGTTGGAGTTTGCAATTTAGGCGTTTCAAAATAGTGCAGGAGTCGACAAACAGTCTGAGACTCTGGCCGGCTAACGTCGTGAGCTTTGACAAAGTAATCATCTTCAAAGCCTAGGCCTCGCGCGAAACAAATCATGAGCTTTTCGCTAACTGCCTGTGCTTCGTGCATGAACTCGAGGGCTTGTGCCTGGAAGCCCGGCAAAGTCGTATCGTCCAGCCACCGCCCTTTTCCAGTTAGTATAGCCATGAATAAGCCTAGTGCCAGTAGCTTACCATTCATCCCTTCTCCAAACTGCATCTGATAAGACTCCTTACGATCAACTGCCCCGGTTGAGGGCCTTATCTGTGCATTCTTTTCCCACCCGGCGTTGTGCTGAGGAGAGAAGGGTACTCGTGACTTTACGTCATCAGACTGGTCGAAGAAGCGCGATGACTGATTGAATATGCCATCGATAGAATCACGACTAATTCCATGATCTACAACGCAAAAGAAACCATGTTTCTCTGCAGCATCGACGAGCTCCTGGGTGATTTCGTCGACCCGAGTGTCGAAGTCGCGCAGAGAGATGGTTGGTACAGGGCGATCGATATATTTGGTGGGTGCCATGATGAGGCTTACAAGAGTGGTGTTGCTGGATATTGATGAGTTGTGTTGTTCTTGTTTTGTGGGCTTCCCATACCTGCTCTTATGTTCGGTCATCTTCGAGGATGTACGCCGCCTCGGGCAAAGGTTTGGAATATGCTAACATGAGTGTCGTCAAGGCGGCCGCCGGGTTCGGCCGCCATTACTGGCATTACGGAAATCCAGGGCTGTACAGCAATATGCGTTAGAGTGTGAAATGCCTTGGGGTGTGCATACCGCAGGTGGGGCAGCCGAGACTAGATTGGGTGTAGATAAGGCGGCCTTGATGTCGTCCGTCCCTCGGCCGCACCCTGCTTGTTTCCCGCACTCTCAACATACGGACCCATTGCCGGCCAGAAACAATTCCATCTGTGCGTTTGGACACCTTTACGACACGTGCTGCTAGCGATCAGGCCTTTGAGGTCTTGCAATGTCCTTGACTATAGCAACAACTTCGCATCGATTGGTTCGACATCAATGGACGACAACAACGCCTCCAAAGGGCAGCGGCCCCGGTTAACATGTACCGAATGCTACAGGAGAAAGATCAAGTGCGATAAGAACGTGCCTTGCAGTACCTGTATTAAAAGGTCAGCAACTCCTCTCATGTCGCCGTATGTAGTCTTGTGGACTTGCCATTGAGTCAGCATACCAAACATGACCATGAAGCTTACCGTTCCATGGACTGAACGATAAAAATCAAACGAATCGGGGATTTCTTCATCTCATTTGATACTAAATAGTGGTTAGGGGTTATGCGAGCTTTTGTACAAGGGAGGACACTTCGGCTGTACCCTCGGTACCACCTCCTGTATACCAGGCTCAAAGGACCACAGCGCCATCTGAAGAGTTCATGCGAACAATTATGGACCGCGTGGATGAACTGGAGGCCAGGTTGGAGGAGCGGCATGACCAACCGTTGAGCGAAGAGCCCTTGTCACTCACTGAAGATGCTTCAGCAAGTCCTAGGCATGATGAGATGCCGAATTCTCCTCTTCACGACGCCACGGCCCCTTTGTCTACTGACACTTCTGATACAGCTACGGTCCTAGAGTTCTTGGCTTGGGGCCGTAAGAAGGATGTGGATTACGGCTCTTCACCAGAACACACCAGTGGGCCGAGACGGTTCAGCGTAGAACACGACACAGTTACTACATCCAACATAATTACCGAGAATAGCAGAGATGCGCAGCTCGACGTTCTGGAAGCCCTTCTTCCCAACAGGGACCTTCTTTCACGGCTTGTTGAATACCACAATAGCTCCGTGCTGTGGTATCATGGCTCCTACTCTTCAACCATATTCAACCAGGATTTACACCTTTTTCTGACCGAATACGAAAGCAATATTCGCAGTGAAGAGTTGAACTTACAGTGGCTGGGTCTTTTGTTTTCCATCATTACTGGAAGCATCACATGTGCCCCGTCGTCTGTACGCCAATCGTGGGGACTTTCTTTGGCCGAGAAAACAGTCTTGTCACAGCGTTGGTATGACGCAACTGTGACATGCCTCAACCTTGCTGGTTACGTCGAGAACCATCTATTTATTCGGTGCAAGCAATTGCCACTCTGACAATTGCAGCACATATACTGGGCAAATCAAACAGCCAGTCCGTTCTACTTGCCTCGGCCGGACGCATTGCGCAAAGCTTGGGTCTGCACCGCCTTGGCCCTGAGAATGCAAGTGCTGCCACTACCAAGCAGCAGCTTCGCCACCGGGAAGCGGGAAGAAGAGTGTTTAATCAGCTCTGCACTCAAGACTGGTTCCAAATCCCCTTTTCCGAGTCCTACTCGCTCAACCCTCGCTTCTTTCAGACCGCGAACCTTTTGAACTGCAACGATGAAGACATGACGCCGCAACCCTTATCCACACCGACCGAAGCGAGCTACTGCAACTATCGCTATGATATCGCTGCACTTATGCCACAGCTTCTGGACGCCATGTCGAGCTGCAATACGCTCTTCACAAAGTACGAGAAGGTACTGCAGTACGATGAGAAGATGCGAAAACTAGCTACAGCATGCATGCCTACGTTCCTATCTACCAACGCGCCGGTGGCCAACAACTGGCCAATATACGTAGGGTGGGCTAGAAGGTCGCTGACCATCTGCGCTTCGCACAAGATCATCATGATACATCGAAAATTTCTGGGCCTTTCATTCACAAACTCGGCGTTTTCTTTTACACGCCGCACGTGTATAGCAGCGTCGAAGACAATCTTGAAAGAGGCGCTATCTGTAAACGATGAGCAGGGCCCCATCCTGTGGATTGAACAGGCGTTTTCCATCGCAGCTGGCATCATTCTCAGTCTCGATGCGCTGCATCGCACTGCAGGCGAGAAGGAGATTGACGAACATGGGCGGCTTGTCGCAGATACAATCGACTACTTGAAGCGGTTCGAGGATAGCAAGATTGCCTCTAGAGGTATCCAATTGCTATCGGCACTGCAAAGAGAGCTCCAAGAGGGCGGAACAATCGGAAGCAGGAAGCGGCAGCGAGCAGCAGAGTCTAGTGATACGGCTCCTCAATCGAGGAAACGGGCCCGCATGTTGGACGTGGAGAGCTTCATCAATAACGTATCGCAAAATCTCCAAGTGACAGTGCCTACGAGTGCGCCAACAGTACAGGTGTCTGAGAGCGTGGGAGACGCTTCATGGGAGTCTTTTGTAAACATGCTGCCGCCACAGACGGTGCTGGGAGGCCACAGTCTATTCGACGATTTGCTTTCGTTTCGATTCTGAGTCTATGTATACTTCAACGACATGTGGTTTCTCGCGCCTACACCGCTCCTCTGCCGTATGCCTGCTACCGAAGCCCTGGCCCTCTGCATGATAGCATTCTCATCGATGCCCAGCAGTTTCCCGTTGCGGACCAGCACTTGGCCGTCCACCATGACCATGTCGACGTCTGCTCCTGAAGAATGAACCAACACTGTCACTGGGTCCATGCCGCCTGTGCCCTGCTCAGCCGCACTCCATGGAGCGCTCGACACGCCTTTTGGCTCCACGACCACAATATCCGCCTTCTTTCCCGTCTCCAAACTACCAATATCACGCTCCAGCCCCAGCGCTCTCGCCCCGTTGATAGTCGCAAACTCCAAAACATCGTATGCGCTCAGCGCACCCGCCGTCTGCCTCACTCCGCCATGGAGTATCGACGCTAGATGCATCTCGCGAAACATGTCGTACGTATTATTACACGGCGCGCCATCCGTTCCGAGAGCTACATTCACGCCGCTCGCGACCATATCCGGTATAGGCGCGACTCCCGAGCCCAGCTTGAGATTGCTCGTGGGGTTATGCGAGACAGTGCTCTTAGTTTCCCGCAGAATGTCAAAGTCGCCAGCTGCTGGATCCGGATGAACACAGTGCGCGAATACGCTCTTGGGGCCCGTCAGCGAGGCGTCGCGGCAGAACTCAAAGGGGCTACACTGGTAGTACTGGCGGTAGATGGGCAGATCTTTGGGTGCTTCGACACAGTGCATCGTCACGCCTATATCGTGTGCGCGCGCTGCTTCGCCAATCGCTGCGTGGGCGGCCACCGGCGAGCCTCGAGGCGTGCCAGCCGCAAACCATACATGCAGACGGTTGTTGCAAGTGCCGTGGTGCTTTTTATGGGCTGCCAGTGCTGCAGCGACAGACATGGAGTCTACATCGCGATCTCGCGCGTCTTTGATATTTAGATCTGGATTTGACTCTGCGGCCTTGATCAGTTTGCCCTGTGCTTGTTAGTCTCTTCCACACATACATATATATATACACTTGTTCCATGAGTGACGATATCAACGGCTTTCACAACAAACACATATATAGGTATTCTCAAACTTACCAAACACGCCCTAATCCCCGTCTCCCGTACCGCTCTCACCACATTCTCCAGCCCACTCCGATGCGTCAGCATGGCCTCGAGGAAACACGTTGTGCCGGTCCTCAGCATCTCGGCAACCGTCAGTACAGCCGCCACATAGCCATCGTCTTCCGCGTAATTCGCTTCCAGCGGCCAAATCGCGTCGCACAGCCAATTATGCAGCGGCAGGTCCTCGGCCAGCCCGCGCAGCAGCGACTGCGCGAGGTGAGCGTGCGTATTGACGAGCCCTGGAATGAGGATTTTGCCACTGCAGTCGATTATCGAGATGTCGGGTTCGAGGTGATGTTGTTGTAAGAGATCTGGAGTCTTTCCGAGAGAAGTGATATACCCGTTTTGGATGAGTACCGCGCCATCAAGCAGGATTTCGCGGGCAGCATTGACTGTGACGACGGTGCCGTGGATTAGTAGGCGACGGGCATGGTCTTTTCTTTCGGTTGCCATGGCGGTTGCAGCACTGGTGTTGTATGTACACACGCCGTAGCAGGTACAACGTCTAGCTGCACGTTTCTGTACGTTTCTGTACGTTTCCTGGGCGACGTATATATGTATGTCTGTATCTGAGATACGTAGTAAGTACGCAATATGTGAAAGAAACTCGAGAACCGCACTCACACCCAGAAACAAGTCCGCAATCTCCAATCTATCGTGACCTTTTTTATATAACCCACTTCCCTTTTTTTAACTCACTTAGCCCACCTACATACATACCCCACATGCAATGCAAACAAAAAAACCCACAACTCGCTACCTACCTACTTACATCCATCGACGCGCCCACCCGCCCACTCGCCTAAACCCCGACATGGGACGGCCGACGCTACGGGATTGCGATAACACACGTCTTATCTACATCTCCTTCTCACTGCCAGGCTAACTGTTGCAACACTTTCCATTTCCCCGCTTGTCAGATGAAACTTTTTTCTTTGTTCGGTTTGTCTGTGCAATTGAGAAATTCCATCCAATTGAAATTCTCCTCCACTTGATCGATTGATTACCCACCTGCCCGTCCACACGGGTCGGATACCTCCGCACGTCGTTATCTCAGTATGCCTTGCACGTCCCGCCGCGACCAAAATACGCTTATCATGGAATCTACATCTGCGGACCCGGTATGGGAGAGTCTGGAACGAGAAGCGCGGTAGATGTGGGAAAGGGCAGGGGGTGAGTGGCTATCTACATATCTGCATACAGAGCTAGATATGCCTGCATGTGGGAAACAATGTTTATAACAACCACCGCGTTGGCTGCTATATGAAAATCTTTTGTAAAGGTCGCCCGGGTCGCCAAGTCTATAGCCCAGCCAGCCCAGGTAGGGTAGGGAAGTAGGTCGATATGGCGACACTTCCATCTCACGAAGCCGTCATCGACACCGAGACCAAAGCCTACGGCGCAGAAGAAGAACGCACACCGTATTCAGCTACGACGACGAGCCAGGAAATTGGAAGTAGCAGCGAGACAGCAACAGCGAAATGGCGCGATACATGGGCAGAGGTCAAGTTTGCGTTTACAACGCGCGAAGGCTGGATTGGGGATTATGTATGTATATTCATTCCCCGTTCATTCACACATGGACAACGCAAGGTGAAAAACTCACTCGGATCCAGGACTACCTCTACCTGATAACACCCAACATCCCGCCCTTCAACCGGCGCTACAAAACACGGATTCCGCCCTTCTACGGGCTCAACGACCGGGTCCCCATCCTACTCACCCTCCTCCTAGGCCTGCAGCACGCCCTCACCATGATCGGATCCATTGTCTCGCCCCCGCTCGCCATCGCCTCGGGTGCATTCCACCTCGACGCAGACACAACCACGTATCTGGTCTCCACGGCGTTCATCACAACAGGGCTGGCGACAGCACTACAGGTCACGCGGCTCCACGTCTCCAAGACGCCGTTTTACATAGGGACAGGGCTGCTGAGCGTCGTGGGACCTACGTTCGACATTCTGCCTATAGTGTTTAGCTACGCGGGGCTGCGGTACAAGGCGGGGACGTGTCCGATGGGAGACGACGGGAGCACGCCGGGCGCATGTCCAGATGCGTGGGGCGCGTGTCTAGGCACCATGCTGTGCTGCGTGTGGATGCAGATAGGCATGGCGTTTGTGCCGCCGCGCGTGCTGAACCGCGTGTTTCCCAAGCTGATTACGGGCGCGCTGCTGACGCTCATCGGCGTCTATCTGGTGGGCAACGGGCTGCAGAACTGGGGCGGGTCCTCGAATTGCCATGGCGGCGAGGGGTTTTACGCCCTGTGTCCCAGTGTCGAGGCGCCGCGGCCCCTGGTCTGGGGACATGCGAAGCTCGTGGGCTTGGGCTTCAGCGTGTTTGCGACTATTGTGCTGGTCGAGGCCGTGGGCGCGCCACTCATGCGCTCCGCGTCGGTCGTCCTGGGGCTCGCCGTCGGCTGTGCCGTGTCGGGCGCCCTGGGATACTGGTCCACGGCGCAGCTGGAGCAGGCGCCGGGCGCAACGTTCCTGTGGGTACAGCGGTTCGAGCTCTCGGTCGACGGGGCGCTCGTGCTGCCTATGCTCATCATGTTCGCCTGTCAGGCGGTGTCGTGCATTCCAGATATCCTGGCCACGGCGGAGCTATCCGGCGTGGACATCGAGGGCACCGTCTTCAACAGTCGGGTCCAGGGCGGCATTCTGTGCGATGGCCTCGGCAGCTTCTTCAGCGCCCTAGCTACAGGCCCGCCCATGGTCAGCCAAGCCGGCAACAATGGGGTTATTGTGCTGACGGGCTGTGCATCTCGTCGCGCGGGCTGGGCTGCAAGCGGCTTCCTGGTGCTCATGGGCGTCGTGGCAAAGTTTGGCGCCGTGTTTGCCTCGATGCCGCCGTCGGTGCTAGGAGGCATGCAGGTCTTCCTGTACAGCACCATTGCGGTGGCGGGCATACGCGTTCTAGCCCTCATTGCGTGGACACGGCGCGACCGCTTCATTCTCGCCGTCGCGCTCGGCATTGGTTTCATGGATATTTGCCACCCCGACTGGTTTGCCCAGGTGCTCGACTACACCGGTCCCAACGTCAATCTGCTTGGCCTGGAGCAGGGTATCAATCTCGCCGTGGAGACGCCGTTTGTCATTGCCGCCATCGCAGGCGTGTTTCTGAATACAGTGCTGCCGAGAGAGGAAAAGCAACCACTGGCATCTACGCGCTACGGCCACCAGCGGGAATATCCTGGCATCCGTGTTACGTGAAGGACTAGTAAAGTTTTGAACAAATATGCACTTTGTATACTTGAGAAAGAGAGACGGCCTTTTTTGCTGCCTTTGCCTTTTCCGAACCTGCTAATAATACCCAGCATGACTCCCTCATATATATCTCAGAAGCAGCTTTTTGTCCTTTGGGAATAGACAGAGTAATAACATGACAGGCCAGTTTATTCTATTCTATTCTATTCTGAAAGGGGGTCATGTTATGTAATAATAAGTTGTCAAGGTCAACCATGTCCAAGTTAGCAACCAAAACCAAACCAACCCTTACTATACTATATGGGGCTGCAACAACAATGCAGCGGATCATTCGATCCTAAAGAGAAAAAAAAATTTAAAAATCCTCCGAAGCTTCATGCGGCTGCCTGTCACACCCTAGACCCATGTCCCCTAGTTTTTTTTTCTAAATACGTATAACACGTTTCATGGGAGACTAAGTGAGTAAGTGTTAGCGGCGGGCGGCGGGCGGTGGGCGGTGGGCCGGAGGTCCGTAGGTAGGGAAAATAAAGTAAAATAACCAAATAGATTAGATTGTATAGTAACTAAAATCCTACTACTTACTTGGAAATTGAAAGATGAAGAAAAAAAAACAGTGTTATACGCACTACTCCTCTCATTGTCAACGGAGTTGGTCCCGGAACCGCGTACCTCGGGATAAAAATAAAAGTAGGCCGGGGGAGGGTGGCGACATGACACGACACGACACGACACGACTTTTTTGGCGGCCGTGTCAGTGTGTTCATCTTTTTCCCTTTTTTTTGGGACTCTCTCCACTCTGGTGGATACTTACGTACATACATACATGTACTTACTAGTATTTACTTACTAGTAACGTAAACGGGGGGTTGATTACAATGTGCGTGTGTGTGTGTATGTGCATGTTACTCCATCTCCCAACCAAGTACACCCACACTATACATTCAAGTCTACGTACATCGGAACTATCCCAACCAATCACATATTTCTTTCCGTCCTTTCTTTCTTTATCTCGGGGCATTTGATTTTAGCTTCACACGCAAAGGAACCTAGGCGTGTATACATGAGCGGAGTTTTTGATTTTAACGCGCGGATACGGCGGATACATACCTTCCACGACACCAATGCCAATACCCCGAACGCACAATCCCCGAACGCACAATCCCCGAACGCACAATCCCGAACGCACAATCCCGAACGCATACCCCGACACCCCCATGTAGCGGCCGATATACGAGGACGGCGGCGGCGGCGCCATTGTCAAGTGGACTGGGACAGCTGTGAAGATCATCATCATCATCATCATTAGTATCTATCATTGTCGTCATCATTATCGGCGGTGTGCATAACCAAAAAAAAAGTCCATGTGACCGAACCGGAGTTTTTATGCGCTTTTTCTCTCTCTCACTCACACAGACACTGTGCATTTTTGCAGCAGCGGCCGAATGCGAGTAGTAGTAGTAGTAGTAGTAGTAGTAGTAGTAGCGAAAACCGGCCACTGGCGCAATGTCCGGGAAAAGCTCATCGGGGTGCTGCGCAAGGCATAGGAAGAGACCAAACAGAAAGGGCGGATCTTGTTAGGTAGTTACTGTAGTTACTGCACTCACTTACATAGATTTATTTTTATTTATTTTTTTACAAGTTCCATCCTTAGTGTTAGTGTTTAGCCCCCAACCAACTGACCTAGCCTAAGTAACTAAGTAACGTCCTTCCCACCCACCTGACTAATTCTAGCATCTCTCTCTCTCTCTCTAAGTATTGTTCCACGGGTTTCCTATGCACTCTTTCATCTTTCATCATTCTTCTTTCTTCATCTCTAACAGCAGTAATCATCACCATCATCATCATGCAAATATACTGCACTGCACAATCATAAGCTGGGAAGGGGGGCTCCACAACAACAGCACCTTTGCATGACTCACACAGCACACAAGGTCAAAGTCAAGTCTGACAGCCTATGCATGAACCCTGTCTCTAAACAAAAAAAAACAAGTTATAACTTGGTGCAAGCGAGTTGTGAGTTACATGCTAACTGTCATGGTGGTAGTAGTAGTAAATTACTCTCTCTCTCTCTCTCTCTCTCTTTCGGACTATGAGATATACCATACCTACATACCTACATATCTACAATCGCAGTAATTTCCACCTTCATTCTAATCCAAGTATACACCGACTACCTAACACCTATAGTATGCATATGCGTCCAGGGAGCCGATGAAACCAATTACGTTAGTTGGTTTGGGTTTAGGTCGATAGGTGGTAGTATACTACATATGTACTACTTATGTATGATAGGAGGGTGGAGGGCTGTGATAAGATACATAGTTACAGTTACAGTTACAGTTACAGTTAAAAAAAAGGTCCCCAAGTAACACTTAGACGGGCGGCGCAACAACTGCGAATATACTATACTCTGTAGTACTTTGGTAGACTGGACTGGACTGGACTGGGAGAATTCTGGGGAAGGGGCATGCGAAGCAAAGCAAAGCAAAGCGAAGCAAAGCAAAGCAAAGCAAAGGTAAGGTAAGGTAAGGTAAGGTAAGGTAAGGTAAGGTAAGGTAAGATGTATATTTTGGTAGTTATCTATTCCTGTATGTACGTAGATTTCGACGCCTCCCACTCACCCACCCAATCACTCACTCACTCACTCACTCTCACTCACTCACCCACTCACACTCACATAAGCCCAACATACATACATACATACTTACGGCCGTGACATGATGCAGTAGCGTACGCTAGCCACCCACACCACCACCCCCACCACCCCCTCAGACTAATCCTACACACACACACACACACACACACCAGCAGCCAGTATACTTGCACTTGTATATTATCCCCCCCCTTAAGCGCATCTCCACAGTACAAAAAGCCGCGTGCAAGTGCAAGTGCAAGTTTTTATCTAACCCCAAAAGGCCAAGTCCGCAAAAAAAAGTGACTTACTTACTTATTTAGCAAAGTGACTTGGCAAAGTAGTGTAGCAAGGGTGATGCTGGGGTGATGCTGGGGCTGGGGGGGGGGGGGGGGGGGTGTGATCCGTGCGTTTTGCAACGATTTCACATGCCAAATGGCTGTTGTTGGGGGGTTTGGCGTTACTTGTACTTTAGATTAGGCGCGTTACAACGGGGTTGAGCCTCGGGATCTTCCCAGCCCTGTGGGTGTGTGTGTGTGTGTGGGTGTGTCGCCGATATTGCGTTGGAAAACCCGCCAGACCCGGTTTTTTTTTTTCCTTTTCTTTTTTGTTGACAGACAGCTACCTGGCACTGGCACTGGCACCTTTTGGATTTATCTTGATTGCTAGTACGTATACAAATCACATATGGAAACTAGGCCCTCTTTTTTTTGGAGGGGGGTTTATCCTTTGCCACCTCGTTCATCCCTAAGTAATCGGGGCGGACCGACTGTCCAGTGCTGTTGCTGTTGGCACCATGTTTTTTTTTCCTTCCCTCCCTTTGCCCTCGTGCTTGCATGAAATGGTGAGATGCTAGGCTGTTTCTGCGACAGGATGCGACAGGGACGGAGGGGGGACGCATGGATGGGATGGCATCGAGGGGGACGGCAAGTGGGAAAGAAAAAACAGGCGAATCGCCCATGTTCTCCACATGCTGCGCTCTGATTGGCCGGCGCCATGTGCTGCAACGAGCCGTTTGGCTTTCTAGACTCTGGTGACAAATGAAACGGCATAGTGGCGGGAATGCATGTGGATGACTCTCTGGAGCAAATGGCATTTGGCCGCTCACGTGCCGTGTTTGATCATTTCCTGTCTTTGCCTACCATGTCGAGAAGGAATGCTCGCCTGCCTGCATCCAAAGCAGGCCGCACATGGCTGCCACGCCCAATCATGCAAGTACCAGTCGACCGAGCCAGACTGCGACGGGTGCGTACAACCCTCTTGCCTTGCCCAGGTACCAGTGTTTCGGCAACTGACCATGGTGCATTGTTGAGGTTATCGGTCGTTGATCACCACATTGGCACGGCCCATGAGACGGGTGCATATCACACATTGTATCTAGGCGAGTGAATGAGGAAGGTCCATGTATTGGTAGCGACAATGGTTGAGCATTTTGTCTAGCCACTATAGTAGTACAGTCAAAGCCATTTACACACTAGGCCCTGTCGCTAGCGTTGCTGATTCATTATTGCCGTCGTGTCTGCGTATGGTGCAAGGTCAATATATTGTACATTCGCGCTTGTGTCATGGGGGCACAGTTCCTGAACTGCCCTGCTTTGAAATAAGAAGGAAAAAAAAAAAAAAAACGCAGCCCGCGAAAGAGCTGCCGGCGTCGGCTACGACGGTTTCGGGACGGAAGAATGAATCCGATCAACCGCTCGGGCACTTTGGGTGGGTATGTCAACCGTGTCAACACGTGCACAACCCTCTTTCGTCCTCCTCTTGCTGGGCGCAACCGATAGCCAAGAGTTGGTCTTGTAGCCACAACGCGCGGAGCTTGCCCATGGTCTCGGCCTTATTACATCCTGGTCCAACGAGGCTTTTTTTTGTCGGGATTTTCATACCAGTCGATATGCCATGTTCCTTCAGCGTGATCGTTTGTACATGGACTGGTCGGCCATGGCGTTACCATCCCATCTGCGCTTAAGACCGTCGGGCATGGAACTTTGAACGGCTTCCTGCCACATGGTCGGAGTCACATAGACGGGCGCGGCGGGATTGGAGTAAGTCGATGACGGGGGCATTTGACCCGGTGGTCCGTGAACATGGGTCGATTGGGGCGAAGTATTCGCCATTTGATAGTTGGGTTGCATGTGGTCCTGCGCCGGCCGCATGTCGTAATTGGTTCCTGAAGGGTTGGGTCTTAGAGGCGGGGAAGACTGAGAGGACGCGCTAGTGGGAGGGGGCGTACCAAAGGCAACATTCCATTGACTGTTTGATGTTAGCCCCGACGCACCTTTTGTTTTTCTTGTCTAATGGCCTCACTTACTCAAAGATCCTTTGTGGGTTCCATTGCGCATTGTCGGGCATCTGCAAGTTAGATGCTGACTGGAGCACACGCTGACCCGACGCCATCATGACCAAAGACTGAGCTACGGGAGAGTCAGCCTTTGACCCGTGGTCCGATGCCGAGATTGGTGGAGTAATGGGGTGTGCATGATATGTGACCTGACCTGGTTGTTCCAACGGCGAAGAGTGGCCCGGGTGACGTCGGTAAGAACCCTGGTGGCTCAACGGACTCGTTTGCGGAGCTACCTGGGGACTGCCAAAGGGAAACGACGGTTTCAACTCAAACGGCTTGGTGCAGTCGGCCGAGAAGGCTTGGCGCAGGCTGTTGACTTGCTGCTGCATCTCGGGCATTGGGAACGAGGGCGAAATCGTCTCCAGAACGCGCATTTGCCTTACGAAAAAGTCTCTGGCGTCGAGGTTGATGTCAGGGTCAGGGCACGTGAGGGCAACCTGTCAAAGGTTAGACGTGAAGGCGAGCGCTGTACAGCGTCAACTTACGAGGTGCAGCATGGTGCACGTCAGCACAGCATAGATGTGGAAGCTGATGCCTCTCATCATACACAACAGCCCAGGCATGCCGTAGGTTTTGAGGATAGCCTCTTGGAGCTTGCACAGGTTCTTGGCAGCCGAGTAGCACGTGAGCATGTGCTGCTTCCAAATGGCGTCGTACGAGTCGGATACCGCGTGCAGCTGAGGTCGAAAGTGCATGATGATGGCGAGGCAGTGGTAGCTGTGCATGTTGGCAATCTGATGAGACGGGATCCACGGCGCCGAGCCATCCTGGGGGTAGACAATCTGCATGTCCTCGGGCAGGTCGCGCAGCCAGAGCGAGAAGTCGGTGTTGTGCGCGACAAAAGCAGGATCCAGGGCCCAATCAGACGTCTTCTTCCTCAGCTTTCCGTACATCATGGCCGAATGAGACACGTTCTTGACAATACGGAGATACTGCACAAACTGGCGCGCAATCTGGAGCTCGCTGGGATCCTGTCCGGCAATGGGCCTGGGCATTTCAAAATCCACCGTGTCGGTATCCACGCCGTAATCATAGCGCCCTTCATGAAGTCGTTAGTGCCGCACAGTCAAGGTGTCGGCAGGAACTTGCCTTGGGGACCCCCAATCATGACTTCGAATACCAAACACATCTGCCACACCCTCGTCTTTGCGACACAGTCATGCGGTGTCGACCCACAAGACTTTCCCATCTGGTGGGTATCGTAATGCTCATGCAATTCCAGGTCCTTGGCCATTGCTACCAGGCTGACGGTAGCCATCCAAGAGCGCCAAAAGTAGCCGCGTTTTGGCGACGCTTCACGAGCTTTTAGCAGCAGTGTCATGGCTTGCATAGTGCTAAGTCGCGACACGTCTCTAAAGCTTTCTTCGTGCCCTGGACCACTGTTAGCAAGGGGTAATGCTGCAAATGTTGCGCGGGAACACTTGCTTGCTGCGAGGGCCAGCCACTTGTTGCCTTGTTCCGTGTCCCCGAGCATCAGTGTCGCGCAGGCAAAGATGGACTCGAGCAAGAGAGGCGAAATCGAGTCTGGCGCGCTATGCCATTGCTGGTAAAAGTAGGCCTTGTTGATGACTGGGCAGTAAGGATGGACATTGGTGAAGAAGTAGTCAAAATAGTGCAGGGCCTGGTCTTCTGAAGGCATCATTTCTGGAGGTATGCGAACTGTGTGATCCAGACTGACGGATGGCGGCAGCTGCACCTCGAATTCTTCTTGTGCTGGTGTCTCGGCCAGGGCCTTCTTCATGTTGGTAATGTATGGTGCTGCCACACGTTTAGCCTCAGGGTCGCGCGCCCCAAATGGGAGGCAGGTTTTTGATTGGTACTCACCAATAGCAGTGTGGTCAATTTTGAGTTCGCCCAAAGCCTCAGACAGGCTTGAGACGGAATCCGTTCGCCAATGGGGTTCCGATTCTGGGGGGGTTAGGATTGTGGGCGGGGGTGCCGATGATGCTTGCGAGTAGGACTGTTGCGGAGCATAGCACATTGTCTGCTGAACTACCTGAGGTTGCGACATGGCTGGATGATAGTGAACTTGGTCTTGTGGCTGCTGTTCTACATATGGCGAGGCCTGGTACATGGCCTGGGCGGCGGCGGGCATGGACAGAGGCATTTGGTGAGACATGGGCTGGGCCATGGAGGCATGCTGTTGGTAGTCATGCTGTGAGGGGGCCTCTGGAGTATACTCGAGAGGCTTTGGCTCGAGGTCGAATGTCTGGGTACCATTGTAGTCCTTGTCGTAGTTGACGGTAGGTGGTACACAGTTGAGCTTTAAACGGATGCATGCAGCGCAAGGCCATGCATTCGTCGTGGCTGCGTCGCATTTGATCTTGCGTCTGCGGCAGCCTTCGCATGCTCTCATTACTACATGGCGTTAGCATCGACGTTGGCCGGGCATGGGTTTTTTTTTGGCAGGCGCAGTGCCCCAGGGCCGGGTGGAGCCACACCTTTCAAGCGCTTGTGTCTGTTGTGCTCGTCTACGAAGACATAATCTAATCGCGTCGTGTCAGGTCAGCGGCTTCTCTTTTAGCAATGCTTGGTTTCTGGTAGCGACGCAGGCGAGGCAATGTGCCGTGGGCGCGTGGGCGTGCGTGGGACTCACTGCGCTGGTTCTCGCGCGGCGCCAGCGTCGGCGGCGCAAAAGTGAAGCTCTGCATCTGGGCCGTCTGGGGGAGCAGCGGCCGTCCAGTCGTCTCCGGGGCCATGGCGTTGGTGGGAAAGTGAGAGAGGGCGGGCCAGTCCAGCGTTGGAGGGGGGGGTGTGTGTGTGGAGGGGGTCAGCAGCGGGGTTGTCGGCTATCCAACAGGTGGATGAGGTTGAGAGGGCGGGCGTGGTAAGGCGGTGGTGGTGGTCAGTGGTGGGCAAAGGAACGTGGCTGGGCAGCCAATGACAGGCCGGGGCGATGGCGATGACGATGTGCTGGTGTTCTCGAAGGGTGAGGGGCGTGTGGGAGAAGACGTCGGGCTGGGGGGGGGATGCAGACAGGTCGAACAACCAGAAAAGACAGCGAACAGGTGGTGCTGGTGTAGGGTGGGATAGCGCTCGCGAAATCTCCGCAATGCCGCGGCGTGGTTAGGTTATACGGCAGATCAGGGCAGCGGGCGCATAGGGAAGGCAAGTGGAGACGATGTCTGGCATGCCGGGGTTTCGAAGGCGCACTGGCAGCGGGCTCGCAGCGTGGCTCACGCGCGCAGTGGTGGCGTTGGCGTGGACGGATCTCCTGAAAGCCTTGAGCGAGTATTTGTGGTCCGCAGGTGGTTCGCCGTGTATGAAGGGGGTAATGGGTGGTATGCGACGTGCAGGATCCAGGAGCCGCACTGCACTAATAGCGTCTTTGTATGGCCGCCCAAGCTGCACGCGCGTGAGCGCAGGCGCAAGCGTCCGCTGCCCAGATGGTGCCGACACAGGGAACTGCCGTGCCTGTGGGGGGGGGGGGGCTTGCTTGGGAGGCAATGGGCCGCAGGGGTTGTCGAGCCCGTTGGAGATGAAATCTGAATCGTATCACCTTACTACTTGGACGGGCGGGTAGTGTGTGGACCTTACAGCTCTGCGATCCGCTGGGAACCGTTGCTATACATAAAGGCGGCGGGGGTTGGGGAGGGGAGGGGCGAGGGGGGGCGAAGGGCTGACAGACAGCTGAGAGATATGGCCGTCGCACAGAGGAAGCACACCTATTGGGGTGAGACTTCTCGCTCGCTCGCACTCTCTCTCTCTCTCCCACGCACACACACAGACATAGACACAGACACAAGGGCGCCGCTCTCACTCAGCAGGCCAGACACAAGGGCGCGCGAGGCAAAAAAAATATATATACACTTGGGCGGACCAGGAAAGCGTGGATAGTAGCTTGTTTGTGGGTGGCGACCATGGGGGGGTGTTGGATGGAACGCCCAGAAAAAGTACATTAGGCGCGGGCCAGTAGGCAATGGCATTTGCAGGCAGTCAGACAGGCAGGCAGGCAGCGGTGCGCATGATACGCGTGTGTGCTTGTGGAAAGGGGAGCGCATGCATGTAATCGAGGGCAAGATTCGCTCATGGCGCACAGCAGTCTTGACAAGTCTTGACAAGTGGGTCGGGTAGAGGGAGGTTGTCGGTGACGAGAACCATGCCTTAGCCGACGAGTGCTATAGTAGGCAGAGCAGGCCGACGACATGATAGGACCGGCGTCGGCAGCGGGAAAGGGGGGCACGCGAGCCTGGCACCAGGCGTAGCAATGGAATGGCCCAGCGGTGGTGCGCGGCTTTTTCAGGAGACGAGGGAGCGGGAGCTGGCGCTTTGCAGTGGTGGTGGTGGTGGTGGTGTGTGGGTGTGGGTGTGTGGTGGACAGGGCCGGCGCACGTCGACGTCGCTTCGGAGGCTCGGCCAGTGCCATGTTCATCGGCGGCCTCTCCATGCGGCCACACTCGCTGGGCCGGCGCATTTGTTTGGCGTGTAGTAAGATGGGGTGCGAGGGCGAGAGCCAGTGCCTGTGCTGGTGCTGGTGCCTGCGCCTGTGCCTGTGCCTGTGCCTGTGCCAGTGCTGGTGCTCGTGTGCGTGTAGGGCATGACGGCTGAGCCGGTGTCTATCTCGAGCACGACACGTCGGCGAATTGATTCGTACAGAAGCTTGGTAGTCGCAGCTGCATGCAAGGTTCTAACGGCAGACGCATCACCATCAGCATAGCCCGCATAAAACAATAATCCTCTGTGCGGCTACACCGCATGGGGCTAACGACGCTGGCAGCTGGTGCTGGTGCGGGTGCTGAGCCAGCCAGGCCGGCATGCCGCATGGCAAGCTGAGCGCCAGACTTCGAGAAGGTTTCCATTGGCGTGGCACGGGTCCCCATGGCCATGCCCTGTGCTGCGACGCGCGGTTGCAGTTGCGCGGGCCTGCGAGGCGAGGCGAGGCGAGGCGAGGCGAAGATGCACCGTCGCTGAGCGTGTGTGTGTGTGTACAAGTATGAGGGGCGCGTCTCCACGAAAGACTGGACCCAGAGCGCCGGGACAGGTGCTTTTGCGCCGCACGCGACCGACGAGATAGCTGGAGGGGCTGGAGGGGCTGGGGGAGGCTAGGCGTGTGGTGACAGGCAGCAACTGCGAGCAGCAGCTCTAGAAGGCGCAGAAGCAGCAGCACCGCGGGCGTTGCCAAGGCCAGGGCTGTCTGAGGCTACATGGCATGGCATGCCTACAGTAGTGCATGGAGCAGACCTGGTCGAGTTGCAGCACCATGGCCACCACACAGCGAAGGCGCATAGAAGCACGCAGGCATGCAATGGCACGACGTCGTGACTTGATGGGCGCTGATCGCTGGGTGCTGGCGGTGATCTCCCTGCCGTCCAGGAACACGTGCCCGGCCCGGTGGTTGGCCAGTCGCCCGATCCGGCAATATTTCCGCCCTCACCCAAGCACACCCAACGCACAAGGCCAAAGGTCGCGGGAGGAGCCGACTGCCTCCAACACACGTCTCTTGTCACCATCCCAAGTACACACACACACACACACATCGGTACGTACGTACGCACCAGTCAGTACTGTACATTGTTGATCTGGGAGCGGCTCCTCCGGCACCCGACCGAGCAACTCGCCGCCTGTCGTCCTTGTCGCCTTGTCGACTGCGGGGCTGCACGCAGTAGCAGTAGGGCCTTGCCGAGGCTGCCCGACGGGGCCACGCGACCTGGCCAAACCCTATTGGTATTATCTATTACTGCCTATGTCTGTAGTCTGTACCTCCAGTGTAGGCACGCTGGATGCTGTGCCTGTCCGTGTCTGCTCGGTGCCTGTTCTGTGCCTGAGTCTGTCCGTGTCGTGGGCGTGTGTGAGAGATGCCGCCATGGAGCGCTTGGGTAAAGGGCAATGGCACATGCGCGCCTTCCTCCTCCTGCTCCTGCTCCTGCTCCTGCTCCTCCTCCTGCTCCTCCTCCTGCTCCTCCTCCTGCACCCAGTCTCACACCCTTCCTCACACCCTCCTTACTCCCTTACTTCCGTCACCACTCATACACAGCCACCCTGCCCCAGTGCCTAGACACAGTAAACGGTACACCCCACACAAACTTCCCCTGCATGGCGCTGGCGGGTAATCTGCGGGAGATTGGATGCATAACCATTGCTCAACCGCTACAGTAATGCTAACGCCTTGCCGACGGCCGATGCAGCGTGCGTGGGTGTGAGTGGGTCGGCCGGCGTGGGGTTACTAAGCACCCATGTCTGCCTGCCCTGCCTGCCCTGCCAAAATGACAATGCAGGGGCAAAACAAAAAACGAGGGGTCATGGTATCGTCGTCGTCGTGGCCCGCGCGCGCTATCGCCTGCCACATGTGCCGTCACAACCATCGACATCACCACAACCACAACCACCACACCACACCACACCACCCCTCCTACGCCAGCTGCTGCAACTCCCGCACAATTGCACAACTCCATCACCCTCCGCCCGCCCCGTCGCCGCCCCTCCCGCCGCCCACCTGCATCCCCCCGCTTGGCACCATGGACCTCGACAAGGACAACGCCAACCCCACCATCTTGAACCCATCTGATCTGCCCTCCCGCCGCAGCCATGCAACGGCCAAACGGCAGCACCATGGCGCCACCGGCCTCTTTGACGACCTGATCCCCCGCTATACGTATCTCAGCGACCCCTTGGACGAGCCCATGTCGCCAGCCGATTCCGACACTGACGACGCTCCAGAGGCCATCGACGAGCAGGAGATATACGGTCAGCCTCCCCTGCCTGGCTGCCCGTCTGCCTGCCACATTAGCTTTGGCTGACGCCCGCCCTTGACAGACCTCATTTCCACCATCTGCGATCCCGAACACCCCTTGTCCCTCGGCTCGCTTTCTGTTGTCAATCTGCCCGACATCCACATTCTCCCCCCAGCCTCGCCGCTGTCCAACATCAGCACCGTCGTGGTCGAAATCACCCCGACCATCACGCACTGCTCGCTTGCCACCGTCATTGGCCTCGGTGTACGTGTGCGCCTGGAGCAAGCCCTGCCCCCGCGCTTCCGTATCGATGTCCGTATCAAAAAGGGCACCCACAGTACTGACAAGCAGGTCAACAAACAACTGGGCGACAAGGAGCGCGTCGCCGCTGCCCTCGAGAACGGAACCCTGATGGGCGTCCTCAAGAAGATGCTCTCCACGTGCGAATAGCCTTTTCCTTTCCACACACACCGCCTTTGTTCCACGCCCATCGCTACAATGTCTTGCCTCTCGGCTTCCAACATCATCACATGCATGTGCCACTGGTTTGCCAAGCGCAACCGCCCTGCTCAGAGTTTATTGCCCGCCATGCCCAGTATACATTGTATACAATGTCAATTGCTCGGCAAAAAACAAACCCGTTGTCGCCAGCCATATACTCGGCCATGCCAAGTATCGAATCCGCCCTTTCGGGACCGATCCTGTCTTGTCGCCATAGTGGATGAATGGGCAATCCAATACACTTACTCTTCAGTCATCTCGTATGCGGCTGCATACGGAACACTTATTCACTCCCCCTGCGCCGATCGTGGGCGTCATCCTGGGAATAGCGGCTTACTGCTCACTAATTGCATCTAAAGTCAAAATCGACCTCACGCTCGGTTTTGCCACGAGTGGCGTTTCATCATTTCAGATCGAATGGTTGAGTTTCAAAACCTAGTTTTCGTGGCCAAAATACGACGTTGCTCACACGTGCGCGGCGACAAGATACAATAACATTGAGCATGGGTACCAACAAACTATACACTTTCAATCTCACCATCCGCCTATATCATCACCCATCTTGCCCAATGTCCTATAACTCCCCCAAATCATAATAATAATCGAATGACGTCTCATAGTTGTTGGGGGAAGAAGAAAAATAAGCTTCCGCCTGTCAAGCCCCCACATGACGTACGTTACGTACTTACCTGTACCTGACGAGAGGGGAAGAGAAAAAAAAAGGGGGTAAAGACGGGAAACATGAAGAAACCGATGAAACACTCACACCCCCCGGGCACGTGTCAAAATCTTGTTTTGCCCATCCCCGCTCTCCCCTTCAATTTCCATGGCTTACCTTTACCGTTAGCCATGTGCCTCACTCTGTTTGGAGCAATCAGTCATTGCGCGCGTGTTTGGGAGGAGGAGGAGGGGGGAGAGGGGGCGACATTGCCGTGTTGTTTGGCCCATTGCCGTGTTGTTGCTGGGGCATTTGGCAGCGCTGGGGGGTGCGTTTACCTATCGGTCCGGCAAAGGGCGGGCTTTATCTATTATGTACCCCATTTTATTTCCATGCTACCCTACCCCGTTTATTCGACCTTTTTTTTTGTCAAGTCTTAATTTATTTATTTACGCGTGTTTTTTTGGGTTTATTTGTTTTTTTGGGGGGGGGTTTCTGGGGAGGGGGTATACTGAAGCGGGGGGGTTCTCCCAGTCCAGTCTGTTCCAATTGCCCCTAGTAGTTCCCAATCCTAGTCCCCAGTCTTAGTCCCAGTCCCCCCAGTGTGTCCAGGCGGGGATTTGCCAGACGGACGGATGGACGGACGGACGGGCACGGGTGGCTTGGGCGTGGGGGGGGGGAAGGGAGGGGGCACAAGC